TTGTATTACCTCATTTTCCTTGTTTCCTGACAGTTTCAGTCAAGATTTTCCATTAAAGTCTATTCAGTTTTCTGCTATTTCTAAGAACAATTTTTGTTCTATAATTATCATGTTTTTTTTATATTCTCAAGTCATTTATTTAGATCTAAATCTCCCTTTTCATCTCATTTTATTGTTTTATAATTCTCACCTTCGAGATCTTGCTTTGTGGAATTTATGTTCTTGCTAAAGGGTGCAGCTCTGGGAAGTGATTATTAGACAACTTGGGGTTCAATGAGTTTTCTTCTTATTGGGATCTCTAAGATTAGTGGAGGAAGGGGCATCTCATCTCAAGGTGCTAAGGCCCATCTCCTCAGTTAAAAAGTTGTTTTCAAGCCTTCCCTTCTCCAAAGAGAGCACGTTTGTTAACCTTCCTCCATTTCACCAGTTTCTCTCCCAAATCATTTCTCATATTCCTCAGTCAAAACAGAAAACGAGAACAACCAAACATGCTGAGGGTATCCACCCTGTTTGCTTCTCTCCAGATTTGGAAATGTTATAATTCTCAGGAAGTTGTCAACTTGCCAGTAAAATCTGAAGAAGGCCCAGGAGACAAGTCTCTATGTTCTGATCAAAAACTCCTGCTTCCATTTTTTTCCCTTGGCTATTTGTACCATGATGTATGTTCTACTGGGTTATATAGATTTATTTCCTCTTATTATTGAATATTGGAGCAGGTAGAGCAGGTGTTTGCTGACTTATATTTTGGGGGGGTCACTTAAGTATCTATTGATGCTGAGAAATTACATGGTGAATTTTCAAATTTTTCAACTCTAAAATCGAAGTTACCTTTAGTATGTTTTTAGTATTTAATATCCGAATGTGTGATTCTTTTGGAATCAATCCTACAGGGTTTTATTGAATTTTCTTACTTAATGAACATAAAAGTCTTCACCTCTGTCATCCTCAGAAATATGAAACACTCATTCTTGCCCCCATTCTCAATGGGCCTGTTTATAATTAGTTTTTGATTGATATCTATCAATTATCCCAATTGGTAACAGATTTATAAGTGAAGAATCTGTCTTAGAGAACAGCAAAACAGTAATTATAGGGAATATTAGACGTGATTCTCGACATGTCAGTGGCATTTCTTAGACTTATATTTTCATAATTAGAGTGTGCTTTTCAAGTAGACATAAATGATTGAATCCAATATGTTCCCTTCTTCTCAATACCACACACCAAGGTACAAAAGGATTAAGGAAAAGTAAAGACACGTTTTAATAAAAATTTTAGGATTTAGAGTTAAATGTTTTAGTTTCATACATTAAAATGAGAATACATGGTAAAAAATTGAATTGTCCCTTATTATAACTGACATTAGTTCTGTACAAACTGTAGGAAATTCCTTTATAATAACTGTTCCAGTACCGTGTGGACAGCTCTGCAGTCCAAYATGTTAGGCAGCATGCCTGGGAACAGGAAAATACCCCTGCTTCTGCCAGCGCCTGCTGAGAGACCTGAATCAATATTTGTATATGCTTCAGTTTCTGCCACAGTTATCACTTACATTGGCCCACGCTGGCCACAAAAGGGGAGATGTACTTGGAAAAAAAATGTGTCAATCATAGTGAATTCCAAGATTCACTATTATAAAAAATTTTAACAGAAAGGTATTCACAGACTATGTTATAGAACTCTCTATACAACATCTGAATCTTACCCAAGATATCTAGCATCACTGGGACCATATTAGGAAAAAGTACAATCATATACAACATTTGCAATCCAATAGAACACAAAAGATGCTGGATTTTATATATATATATATAAAATCCAGCATCTTTTATGTGTTCTCTCTCTCTCTCTCTCTCTCTCTCTCTCTCTCTCTCTMTATATATATATATATATATATATATAYATAYAYASASASAGAGAGAGAGAGAGAGAGAGAATGCATAATAGCCAACAGAATTAAAATATTAAGTGGGAACTCTGAAGTAACTGCTAATGACAATTATACAAGAAAACTAAAATCTTTAAGTAATTAATCTCAAGAAAACTTCCATAGGGATTTCATTGTTTGATTACATCCCCTTCAACTTCTTTGTCTTTTATTATTACATGAGACACACACACATACACACAAGCCATCCAAAAGTACAGACACAATTTACATAAGAAAAGGACCAGTCTTATCAGACCAAGATAGCCAAAGAAATAATAGATTTATATGATAGCTAAAGAAACCTGGTTACAGGAATAAAAATTAATTTCCCCATGTGACCTATAATCTAACTCATCTGGTAGAACATGGCATGGAAGAGTGAGGATCCTAGTTTCAATCAGTAAAAATACTAATAATTGTATCACATTTTAAATACATGCTGATATATCTGAACCTTAATAAGAACGCTAAGAGATCAGGAGGTGGACACAATTATTCTTCACTTTGAAGATGAACAAACCCATTATACAACTGGCTAGCAATGGAGTTCATGTGCGAATAAGCTCCTAGGACAGGGCTCTCTCCAAAACTCTGAACTGCAGCCAAGTATCTTTTCTCTCTTTCAGATTCAAAGACTCCATCCACTTCTTAGCCTACAAATCACAACCAGGCCATTGATCCAAGAGGAAGCTGAACAACATCGGTGGGTAAATTAAGACAAGCAAGCTCCTAATTCATCAATGAATTCAAAGGGCAGACCCTACTGATGCTGGTTCACCATCATCATCACCCATTCTCTACCCCAGGCCAGTTTGCTGAAGGTTGCAAGAGCTGGGGAGATTTTAAAACCCCAAAGTCCATACTGTGGCTCTCACTAATGAAAACAGATACTTTAGGGATAGATTCCAGGCATCACATTTTGTAGAACACTTATGGGCACTCTGAGAACCAGTGCCTCACAGAAAATCCACAATATAGATTGAGTAAATTACATTCAAGGACATACAATATGAAATAAAATCAAATATCATACAACATCATCAGGAGGACGCAGTTATGTTTCAAATTTCAAAAGTAAGTAGAACACAGAGTTTCCTTATTTACAAACAGGTTTGAGAGTTGATATTAACCTACATCGTTTTCCATTTAATAGCTAGTCCTTCAGGGCTGGGGTTGTGGCTCAGTGGTAGAGCACTTGCCTCATATGTGTGAGGCACTGGGTTCAATTCTCAGCACCTCATATAAATAAATTAATAAAATAAAGGTCCATCAACAACTAAAAATATAATATATATAAAAAATAGCTAGTACTTCAGTGTTGCTTCTGGTATAAAAGGTAACAGCATGGACAATCTCAAGCACTTCCCTGTTAAAAATCTCGTCRCTTTGCGTACAAATCACTAAGAGTCAGGGAAATGACAATTTCAGCTGAAATGGAAGTACAGGTGTGTGTGATGATCAAAGACATGGAGAACTGGCAAAGCTTGTAACACCTGTGGCCAACCTGCCTGGAAGGCAGGGCTGTGTTTCTGCCATATGAAAGAAATATCAAACTTGTACTCAGAGGCAAAGACTAGAAGGATATAGCATAGTACTGAAAAAAATAGCAAAAAGTTAATTTCAATGAGTCCCTCAATATTTTAAAAATATAATTAAATTAGATATTAATATATTAATATATATTTTATTATTTAAGCGACAACTTCCATCTGAGATACACCTGCTGACCTGTCCAGAAGCTCACATCAGCTTTCATTCTGATAATAAATTAATGTAATTCTGGTAGGTTTACTTTGGTTAAGCAGACACGACTTGTCACTTAAGTGTATAAACACCAAAACTGTATAAAATTGATGCTTTATTCTGATTTCATGAAAAGACTGGACCAACAGAAGGATCTTAAAAATCAATGTGACTACCAGAGTTTTAAAGAAAATTTGCTTCAAACAGGATGTGCATAGATGAGAAGGTGTGTTAAGCGCCAAAGCAGTTGCCCTACCAACCTGTGGAATATTGATTGTTTTTACGCCTAGCCCCACAATGTGCAGGCTGCTTTATGTTACGTTCTTATCATGGAAAGCTAGACAGTGATCTGTAATTACAATTAAACCAACATGGGAACTTTGGAGATCTGAGGAAGAACTTTAAACCAATTTAGGTAGAAGCATTCAGAAGAAAACAGAAACAAAGAGTCCTAAAAGCTGAATTAGTAATAAGAAATAAATGCAAAAAGCAATAATTACAAGTAAATAACACTTCCTGGAGAATATGCTCTTTTGACAAATATAAACTGATAAAGCTGACAAGATTCATCTCCCATCAGCACATCTTTGAGAGCACAAGCACACACAGAGAGAAACAAGAAACTGGAATCTGTTCCTGTTATCCTTTAAAATGTTGCACCTGCTTCTAACACATTATATGTGTGTATGCCACTGCATCTGCCTGACGATGCYAGACTTCCCAAATGTTTTTGACAACAATTAAAATAAGCATCTACTAATAATAATTTTATTTCATCCTAAACAGTTTCATTTTGGGSTGAGGAGAAAAAGCCACATTGAGGGGGGAAAAAAAAAACTACCTTTAAAACTCTGTGACAAACACATTTCAGAAGGTAGGTCTATAAATAGATGTGCTCTGTATGCACACTGTAAATATAAAATTGTCAGGCTGGCCAGGCTGCAATTTAAACTGAAGCCCCAATATGAACTTACCTGATTTTCAAGTCCTATTAGCATATGCTTAGAATCAGTTCGAATCTCCTTTTTCTAGTTGCATAGTAAGGCAAAACACCTTCCACTACATTTTACTTATCTCACTCTCATCTTTCTTCCAAAGCAATACTTTGCAATTTCATTCAGAAGCAGCCTCCTTAAACAGACTCCGGAATATGCACAGAAACAGTAATGGAAGGGATCTAAGTTAAACCCTACAGCGGCACCAGGAAAACATCAACATCAAACCGAAAAAGCAGTCATTTCTGAAGAGAGGTGCTTTTCTTAGCTGCATTTCCCAAGCCAGCCCTCTTTCAAACATAAAAGGTCTCAGTTATGAAAGAGGATCTTACCTGAGCTGATCATACTGTGCATTCTCTGCTGAGCCAAGAGCTGCTCCCGTCCAGCCACCCCATCTGAGGAAAAACAAGAGTCACTCTCGTAAATTGTCTGCAGCATATTCCAATCACTCTTACTTCAGCTACATGAAAGATTCATCACTGCTCAGTGCACTGGCCCCAGGAGCTACCCTGGCTGGTCCTCCCTCCTCCCTGAGGAGAAGCGGCAGAGGATCAACTTCGACAATGATTTCATTTCTGCTCAGACGAACATACACTTTTAAAAAGACCTGGACACTTTCCCCCGCTACCAACCTGTGTGCAAAGCAGAAAGGACAGAGTGGATGCTATAGCTCTCTAGAGTTTTAGGTTATCCAGGAAACTAGAAGCAGGTGGGAATCAGGAATGTGCTTCGGGGTTATTTCTTTGTCAGAATAAGTAGCAAAATATTAACTCTACCCACGAGAAAAAGAAACCAATTAAACCTGGCTTATAGTTCTTCAGGCTGCTAGGGGTTTCGTTGCAAGAACCTTCAGTCCTGCAAGTGGCTCCAGCCGGTGCCCTTGTATCTGTTTGTGTGTGTCTCTCTTCCCTTTCTCAGTCTCTCTCAGCTCAAGTTGGCTAAAGCTAGTGATAATCCATTTGCATATGAATCAACAACAGCATGGCCCACAGGCACAGAAATAGAACAATGGTCGGCCTGAGCCAAAAATAGGTCAAGCATGGCCGAGTGATTGGAGCCTGCATTAATGCATTTAAAAATACCCCAGCAAACCCAGCTGTCCAGCCTCTATCTTTCAAACCATAATTCTCTGTTGCAGGGCCTTAAAAGCAATTAACTCTTTCCTGCCTCCAAGCTCATTTTACACACTGTTTTCATACTGGCGATTTGAGTCCAAAGGAAGGCAAGGAAAAAAAAAAATTAAGAATCATAATTCAAAGAGGGCAAATGCACATACATTTAATTTCATTTTATTTTTGTAGTATGTGTTTTTGGAAGAGAGAGAGAGAGAGAGAGAGAGAGAGAGAGAGAGAGAGAGAGAGAGAAAGAGAGAAGTGCAGAGCTCTGTATTGGTTCTAAAATAATACTGGAAGCTTTTGCTCATAATGTGGTTTCTGCCTCACCCACGCACAGCAATCCTGGTGTTCTATTTTTGTTGCCTGTTTCTCTGGCTACACTGCAGTTGGCTGTAGCACTAGAAGCTTTTCTGCCTTCTAGTTTCAGCACTGACAGGAGATTTAGTAGAGGTAGTTTCGGAAAACAAGCACACTCCAGAATAAAATTTTTATGAAGGACTGGTTTGATTTTTTTACTTGCTATTTATGTAAGGCAATTGTCCATTTCACGAATCCTAATGTGGTCTTAGTACCACCTGTCAATTTTATTGCATCCAGTTCCTACTCTATCTAAAAAACAAAAACATAAAAGCATGGATGGCTAAGATCTGGAATTTCTCCCTCTTTCGCTCTCTTAAGCTAAATCCAATTGACTTGAAAAAGGAAAAGAAAATTTTGATACTTTCCTATGGATGCAGAATTACCATGTTTGTGCACCTGTCGATAAATAAGTAAGTATTAAATATGAATATTCTGGGTTTATCTATACATTGGTTGTCTGAAATATAGATGCCACTTTTCTTTGGAATAGCATTTATGATAGTTGATAGATTTCCAGACCAGCAGACATTTTGACATTCACCTGTAAAGTAAATGCACTACAATAGGTAGAATAAAAGTTCTACAGTCTCTGGTGTACATTTATATCAGTGTCTGTGAGAAATAAATTCTGCATCCCAAAATGGAATGCCAGCATCTAACCGCTCCCAGGGGCAAACACAAAAGTATAATCCACTGGTCATAGAAGCTCTTCACTCTTCATGGAAGCTTTTCTAAACTAGATCAGCAAGAAAAATAACAATTCCTAAGGCATTAGTAACAACAGGGAAAGAAAGAGGAAAAGCAGATTGTTGCAAGGTCCTCAGAGCAATCTGACAGAAGAAAAACCTGGTCAACCCTAGGGTATGGGACATGGAAAAGCAAAGAAGTGTTCATAGAGTTTTGGCTAAAAAAAAAAAAAAAAAAAAAAGTTAAATTATTTAATAGCGAACCCACTGCTGAATTCCTCTTCTTTCATAGATAACTTCTGTTCAGTATACCACTTCTTGAAAAAGCACATTTAGACAAGTGAGTTATAAGATTTTTTTAAAAATAGTTATTTCAAATAGCATTTGACTTAAGCTAAACAACAAAATCTTATGTTCCTATCAGTGGAAAAAGTATTTGATTCCATCTGATATTATAAATAAGCTTTCCATTAAGAAATGTGTGTATGAAATTCAAGGTATAGAAATAATGTGGATCTGATAATTTTCCTTGTGATGATGTATTTATATAGTGATCACATATAGCATTCTAAACCTGGGGTTGGGGTGGGGAGGTTGGCCACAATAATCTTCAAATTCTGCCTCAGGAAACCACTGCAGGATGTAAGGGTACCTGGAAGCTGCCTCATTTTGCCCAGATGAGGCTCTCCCCTCAACCAGGGAAGCTCCACTTATATGGATTTATATTTGGGAGTGCAAAATTCTGTTTTTTCATTTTACTTAAAAAAACATTTTTAGGGGCTGGAGTTGTGGCTCAGTGGTACGGCGCTTGCCTAGCATGCATGAGGCACTGGGTTCAATCCCTGGCATCATGTAAAAATAAAAAAAATAAAGGCATTATATCCATCTACAACTAAAAAATAATATTTTTWAAAAATTATAAATAAATAAATAAACATTTTTATTAAGGTATATTTGATAAATTAAGATTGTATATATTTAAAATATGCAATCAGATGATTTGAGACAAGCATACACTGAAAAAAATCACCACAATCAAGCTTTTATCCATCTCCTTTGCTAGTTACTTTCCTTCCTTCCTTCCTTCCTTCCTTCCTTCCTTCCTTCCTTCCTTCCTTCCTTCCTTCTTCCCTCCCTTTCAATCTTTCTCTCTAATGGAGTCAGGCCTAAAGAGGCTTGCTGAAGGTAACCCAGGTAATTAACCATGCAGGTCTAGCATTCATGCTCTCCAGTCAGCCATCTTTCCCCTTACTAAAATGATGCAAATAATTAACTGAGATATTCAGAAAAAAGTTTAATAGAATCTACAGATGAAAAATAGAATCACTGTTTAAATGTGTCAAAGTATTTAACAGAATATACAAAAATCATGATAAATATATACAGGATAACAAAATCATGATATATACCTATATGTCTTTGCCATTTTGTTCAATTACACCATAAAACTGCAATTGATAAAAAAGTATCTCCAAGTTTTTATAGCCATAAAAAAAAAGAAAGAAAAAGAAAATTGAAGAAAGTTCCAGAAGAGCATCTCCAATTTCTCAGAAATTCTGGGGAAAGGGCATTCCAATGTGTATTCTTCAAGTTTTTAACTTGAAGTTCATTAACATTTCATCCCTACATGCCTTCAGCATTTTTTTTCATTAGCAGTCTTGTCTTTCATTTAACTCTTGATAATGAAAAATTACTCAGTGTGAAAAGATATTGGACACATTGTGAAATAGATCCACTTGTCTCTGGGAAGAAATATAAACATCTTCAAAATAACCACCAAYGATGCCGATTGCCACAGTTCTATTATCCAAAGCTTAAATATTAAGAAGGTTAATTTTTTTTTCTTATACCATCACAATATCGGTAAAGATATGTGATTGATTTGATTATTAAACCAATTTTACTGATTTGGGGAAACAGATGTACATTTTCTTTTGTATGAATCCTAATAAGCTGATATAAATGTCAATCTAAAATAGGAGGGTAGTATTATGGTTTATATATGAAGTGTCCTCCAAAAGCTCATGTGTGAGACAATGCAAGAAAGTTTAAAGATGAAATAATTGGATTATGAGAGCTTTAACATAATCAATGCATTAATTTGTGGATAGGAGTTAACTGTGTGGTAACTGTAGCAGATAGAGTGTTGCTGGAGGAGGTGGGTCATTGGGGTTGTGCCTTTGGGGTATATATTTTGTCCCTGGAGAGCGGAGCTGTCCTGTCATCCTTGACACCGCTCTACCCCCTTACCTTTCTCTTTTCTTCTTGATTCCATGTCCTGAGCTATTTTCCTCCACCCCACTCCTCCACCATGATGTTCTCCCTTGCCTTGGGCCCTAAAGAATGCAGCTAGCCATCTATGGATTAAGAGTTCTGAAACTGTGGGCCCTCAAATAAACTTTTCCTCCTCCAATTGTTCTATCCGGTCTTTTGATAACAGCAGTGAGAAAGCTAACTAAAACAGGTGGCTTTAAAAATAATTTCAACATAATAAATTCTAATTCAGTTTAATAAGCATTTTGAAATTGATCTAAATATCATACTTTATATTTATACAGGTTAAAAAAGGCCAATAAGCAAAAACAAAAATCTACATTCTCTATTTACTAGAAAGTAGGAATGGGAATCAAATCCTAATATGAAATATTACTTAAAAATTATGATAATTACAATTCTTTTTATGCAAGTATGTAGGCCAAAAAAACCCCAAAATGTATTAAAATTCTTATTACAGAAATATCTTCATATCTGTTTCTCAGGTCAGTCTTAGTAATACCTAAAGACCCCACTGTAGAGAAGCAAGGCAAATAGTATAATGTGATTTATATTACCACACAATATATATTCTGTTTATGTGCAATAAAACAGACTTTTCATGCAGTGCCAAATCCTGTGATTATGGACTCTATATAGTTTTAAAATTTGTCTCCTTGAAATACTTAACTGTGCTTTACAAGAAAGCTACAAATTACTCATCAATAACTAGTATCCTCCATTCACTCATTCACCAACACTCTCTCTTTGCTGGTCCTCACATTTCTCCAACGACTGTTAACAGCAATAAAGTTATACACATTTGTTTACAATCAACAGGGTTAATTCTCTCAGACCCCTAAGAAACAGGGTGGAAGGGGAATGATAAAGTAACTTTTGCTTGGTAATTAGCTTATTTATCTGAATTTTCTCTTTCTTAAAGGAACAGCACCCATTCTTACTAAATAGAAGATACTGCATTCATAAGTGATTATTCCCCACTGAAGAATCCTAATTGGTCATCAAATGGCTTTCAGCTGAGAAAAGCATGTCTGGTCCCATCAGCAGGTAGTTTGAGAAAATACAWCTGCAATGAAATTTCAGGGAGCCTGTTTTACGTGGAAACAAAACAAATCAACAATAACAAAAATTTTAGAGTCACAGGCCTTGCTTTGCTTGAAATGATTTTTTTTCTTTCTTTCCTTCAAATGTTGATCCATGACTTATTCTATTTTTAGGAGATTACAGGGGATCAGGGTCACCTGGGAACTTGTTATAAATGAAATTTATTGGGCTCTACCCCAGAACTACTAAATCAGAATCTCTGGAAGGAATCTGTATTTTAACAAGCCCTCCAAGTGATTCTGATGCACAAATAATGTTTGAGAACTACAAGATTAGATCATCTTTTCCAAAGCAATAATTAGATGGCTAAAAATATAGATGGATAAAATATCTTTTATGGTGCAATTTCAAATTAGCAAGTATTATTAGAGAACGATTTTTAAAAATGAAAATAATTAAACTAGGT